TTTTTGGTTAAACCAACTTTATATTTAGGATCCTATAAGGGAACCCCAAAAAGGAACCACAATGGAGACTATAGGTATGATTCAGACACGGAGCTCCGGCGTAGGTTGTGCCGGTGATGGAATTCGCCAGCACCTACGCACACCGGGTGGTTCAAGGCATGCAAAAGCAACCTGAATCTATCCGTAGGGTCATACCCTACCCGTTTTGGGTGTTATCTAGTTTTATGGTTAGCATGTGTTGTATAGAAAACGGGTACCCTAACAAGGGGTAGGGTAATTTTCTATCCTAAAGGCAGAGCACCCCTCATGTCTACTTGCACATGCCTTGCCAGCTGCAAATTTCGGAGAGAATCTCCGTACAACACCACGTCTCCTCTCTGTCATGTGGTCCCCCTAAACCCTAAACCTCAAACCCTAAGCCGAGAACACGAATTAGAAGTCTAACACACTTTCAAGGCCGTCGCCATTCCCTTTTGAGACACGGTTGGAGTCACTACCACACTGAAGCAAGCTACACAGGCAGGTCCAAGTAAACACACTACTAACGATCTGTTCGGAGACCAGCAAAGGGCCTCTCCTAAAGGTCGCGGGAATCTGGGGATCGGCATCTCTATCTCTTCTCCCTCTGTTAGGGTTGTTATTTTGGGGAACAGGATACGAGGTGCAGGGTTTAGGGTTCTCTATTTCTCGCTCTCTCTCGCTCCCCATCCGCAGCCTCGTTGATGAAGCGAGGGTTGTTGGAGACTATCCCAGCAGTAAGGTGATTGGGCATGCGATTGATGGCCTCAATGACCTGATCCACGACGGGGACTGGGCATATTTATGGGCCAGCGTTACTTCGGCCCCTGAACTCTAGCCAAAGCTTCGAGAAGGATTTCGGTCACTTAGCATACGTCTTCAGTCGGCGTGACGGACAACGAAAAGTCATAGGGACCCTTAGCGGGGTAGGGGGAGGGGGGTAGCGGGGGCCGTAATGCCAGCAATAAGGACCTAATAAAGCCTATATTTGAGGAAGTATAGTCCCCCCATCCCCCTACCCGCTAAGGCCCTAAGGGTCCTTATGTTGCGAGGAAATGTGTTTGTGTGGTAATCCAAGGCCAGAACGGCTTGCGAGGGCCATGTAGGGCCGTCGTGGACTCATTGCCATAACAGTAGCGACGGACCCTAAACCCTAAATAACCCAAGGGTCTCAATCATTCGAACCGGAGTGTTGGGTGATGTTCTAGAATCTCTATAGCAAGGAGTCAGAAGGGATGTCGGTGCTGTGTCTCTGGGCAAGGTTTGCGCAGATATTTTGTATGGTTTGGCGCGCGGATTTTCTGGCCGGCAGAGCACGTGAATTGGTCCGCAGATTTTTTGAGGGAGATAGACTCTTAGGAAAGTCCGCGATCAAATTCACAAGCAACTCGGCGGGACAACCCGGCAGAGCCATGCAAAATAATCCGTGAAAAAATCGTTGCCCAGACAGCCAACCCTAAGGGATAGTATTTCTTCTTACGCAGGCAGGCTTCTATATCAAACAGAAACGGTTTATGACTTTGTAACAGCCCCACACACACATAGCATCGCATCAAGACAGGGTGGAGCAACAGCGTTGCGTTGTCCTTCTCGTCTGAAATGAACTGCGGACAGAGTGTCAAACAAGTCGAGGCAAGCAAACACAAACGCGATTCCTAGCCAATACTTCAACCCTAAGTTTATGGTTCGTGAAGCCCTCTTCACACGGAGTTTCTCTTCCTTACAAGAATGCCGTTGCTGCCGTCGTTGGAAGTCCTTCCCAAACGACATGTCGTAACAAAACAACCGTGGAAACGAGGCCGAACACGGCCTACATCAACTTGGTTTAGGTTCCCGGAACCTTGGCTGGCGAGGCTACTAGCCCATCCCCGAAATCCTACTGCGAAGGCTCTTCTACAGATAGAATAAACATGAGCCGCAGGCCTCAGAAGCGAACAAACCGACATGGGAGTTTCAGACATCATGGGACCACAAGATCAATGACAGGTATGTTGGGGCTATAACGATAGCTCTTATGATGAAACGGCCTTGCAAGGGGATACGAGTACTTACTTCAAGAAGTCCCCATCATGTGAAGGAAACCCTGATGTGGCAGTCCTTGGACTGTTGACCCTCCTTGTAGTCCACCAAGACCTGACACACCCAGAGAGCCCAATACCCCTTAATTAAGGAATATACCTTAAATTCTAAGGGGCTTCATATTATGATTTAAGCCATCTTCCTTGATTAAGGGGTATTGGGCTCTCTGGGAATTGGCAGGGGCTCCACCGTTACTACGAGCTGTTATTCAGGCTTCTATCTGATGAATGCTGACGGTTGTTCCACGCTTCTTGCTCACCCTGTCGGTTTAGGGCTTAGGGTTTAGGGTCCTGAACAAGTTACATCAAGTTGTAATTTGAGTTATAGAAACATTTTCAGTTCCCCCCCCCCCCCCCCCCCCCAAGAACAATGAATGAGCTCGAAACTGCACTGAAGCCCTACAGTATAGCCGACGCAACCTTCAAACCCGAACACCACGTTTAACAAAATCTTCGCTGCAAAAATTGTACCAACGAAAGAAAGGCCGACACACCTAAACCCGTCTCCTTGCAAGGCCCCAAATACATTGACCGTGTAAACACTAAACTTTCACTAAACCAAAGCCTCTAAAGCCATGTAGTCTAAACTGAGTCTAAACGCAAACACGAAACCAAAGCCTCTAAAGCCATGCAGTCTAAACTGAGTCTAGGCGCGCTCTGAACACCCCTCGCGACGCCTGAGATGAACCCCATAACATTCGCGCACCTACCAAAAAGACATAAACCCTTCCCACAAGCCCGATAAACATCCATCTTCAATCCCTGACTCTCATCCCTAACCCTACCCACAGGTTCCCTTTTGGGGTTCATATATAGAATCCTTTAAGGTAACCCCCCCAAAAGGAACTACTATGGGGCCTATGGGTAAAGACAGCATGAGCCAAAGACTGACGCCTGGAAAGGGCCGAAAAGCTCCACCGTTGCCACTTCGAAGCTGGGGGGATCCTCCAAGGCCTTCAAACAAACGTTTTGGGTTTTTTGCTTCTTGGTGTTTAGGAGTTTGGGTTTGGGTTCAGGAGTTTAGGGGTTTAGGGCAAGGCACAGGCTCACGATTTGTGCTTAGTGTTGAGGGCTTATGGGGTTTAGGGCATGCCTTGAAAGCCAGCATATCCTTTTGCCAGGGGTCACAGAGGGCCTGGATCTTACGCAAGCCCTATGCAAGCCATGAACCATTTAACGTAGGGTGTGCTCCTGAGTTTATTGACCTTAACCTGTACTTTATAATACTTTAAACCTTACACCAAGCCTAAATCCCGCCTAAATGCAGGCTCTAAGTTGAAGCAGAACATAAACCTCCACCCGAACCAACCTACACCCCAAACCTCTCTAAGCTCTTGTTCATTCGAAGCCTTACGACTTTGAACCTTAAGCCCTAAACAGCAAACTCAAATGCCGCAAACCCCACAACCACACCACAGAGGGGAAGAAGGACCCCACACCCCACCCACAGGGGCGGGCATCCTTTACCATGGACCATGGGAGGGGGAGGGGGGCCTCGGAGCGCCGGACTAAAGAAATGTATCACATACCTCTACGCTGTTACTTATCTACTGGCTTATTCAGATCGACTGAAGAAGGTTATAGTTATAAGGCCTTACAGGATTCGAAGGTTTAGGACCGAACATCTGTGCATTCTGGGATGAATGACATCTCATGGACCTCAAAGCCAGGCTTTGAGCTTGGCTTTCCTATTTCGTCGATCTTTTGTCCTGTCTTCCCGGGGCTTGCTCCAGGGACTTTCGGGTTTGGGGTGTTGACTCTCACTCTCGCAGAAGACAGGCCTGCTTTAAGGTAGGGTTTAGGGTTTAAGGTTTGGGGTTTGAGGTTTAGGGTTTAGGATCGGGAGACTTAGCTCCATGATGTGTAGTTATAACCTAGCCATAGGCCCCATTCTAGTTCCTTGTTGGGATTCCCTAATAGGATCCTA